TTTTTTTTTTTTTTTTTTTTTTTTTTTTTTTTTTTTTTTAACTATTCAAATATTTAACCATTTTACATTATCTACAATTTTGCATATTAAATTACATAAAATTCTATTGGGTCATAAGAGTGCCCTTCTACCCTATAGTTGCGATGTTCGAGTATATTCATCGACTCACCGAACCGATCTCATAACTCATAATTCAAAAGAAAAACAAAAAAAAAAAAACAAATTTTATAGTACTTTATATTTTTAATATTTTCACGAGTCTAACATATAGTTGCAATGTTTGAGTGTATTCATCAACTCCACTAAGCCAACCTCATCACTCGGAATTTAAAAGAAAAAAGAGACAAAATTTGCACAGTATATTTTTAATGTTTTCGAGTCTATTGCATCATCTTTAAGTTTAAATCAACTTTTAGTACAAAAAAAAAAATATATAAGATTCATGTTAATCTTTAAACGAACAAAACTATACCTCGTTTTTAATCCAAATATAACTCAATTAATGACGGATAATTCAATACCTCACTTCTACCATTGTCGAACTAAAAAAATCTCGAACATAACTAAATTGATTTAGACCTATATGTTTAATGGAGAGGGTGAATATTCGAATCTTTACCGCAAAAAAATAAATAAATTAAGAGTAGGGTAAGAACGAAAAAAATAAAAGAAATGGTGTGGCAGAAGATTGGCCCATTCTTTGTTTCATATGGCTACCTGTTACCATTTGTTGTTGATAAAATGGTGGGTTCCATTTTTCAACAGTCATTTACACACACAAAACCCATCTCTTCTTCTTCTTCTTCTTCTTCTTCTTCTTCTTCTTCGTCTGAAATTTTCAGCACAAACCCAGAATTGGCAAGAAGGAGAGGTCAAAACCAGAGCGAAAAACTGTAAAAAAAACAGAGAGAAAGGGATTCAACCATTTGTAGCAGCAGTAAATATTGTTGGAGAGGCAGTTAAAAATGGAAGGAGTGAAGGAAAAGAGTGAAATTGGGGAATACCCATGTGATCCTTGTAGATCTTTTGGTAAAAAATGCAGCAATTTGGTTAAAAAACAGCGCACTAAATTCTACATCCTCCGCCGCTGTGTGGCTATGCTTCTTTGCTGGCATGAACGTGGCGACCCTTGATATATCTCCACCACCGCCGCCGCTGTCTCCGCCTTAGCGCCGCCGCTGATGGGCTTCTTCGTTCTATTTTGTCTCGTTCATACAAGGTAATTCCCGGAGTACAAAAGATTAGTGCTTCATTTTGCTCTCTCCCCTCTCTCCCATGGCTAATAATAATGTAACAATATTCAAAATTTCTCTTTTAATTAATGGCTCTTTCTTTTTTTTATTGAAATTTTTAGCGTTTTTGAGAGAGAACGGGTAGAGAGGTGATGAAAGAAGAATAACGAGGGGCGTTTTGGTAAGGAAACATGAGACAAGTGTTAGACAAACACGACATATAAACCGATCGAATTTATCACAAGGGGCGTTTTGGTAAGGAAATATGAGACAAGTATTAGACAAACACGACTCTCCACAATAGTATGATATTGTCCATTTTGGGCATAAACTCATGACCATTCCCTACATTAACCAATGTGGGATACTTTCATCTAACAACAAAAACAAGCTTCCGCTGTTGTTCTTTTATTTTCTTTTGTGTCATTTCTTATTACACACATATATACACATACACGTATTCCAGATATGTACCATGTACTTTATAGCCTATCAACTACCGAGCTAGTCGGACATGCCTATACAACTAATCCTTATATACATGATAGTGACACTTCGATTATCGATGATACAATCAACGGTTGGGATCTAAACGTTCCTTTATATACTAAATTTTTTAATAAAGGGATTCTAATTTATTGTTTGCCTTACATAAGTTTGATTTGATATTTTTTATAAATATTTCAAAATTATTCGGGTGTAAATCTCTCATTGACAGACACATTTTAAAATTATGTGACAGACAGTGATACGTAACGGACTAAAATGGACAATATCTGCTAGCGGTGAATTTGGGCTATCATAGTAATATTGTACTAAGTGGCTGATAACGATACATAACAGACTAAAGTGGACAATATTTGATAGCGGTGGACTTGGGTTATCACAATAATACTGTACTAAGTGGCTGACAGCGATACGTAACAAACTAAGGTAGACTGTATTTGCTAGCGGTGAGCTTGGGCTATATTGTACTAAGTAACCATCATGTCGACTATCTGTCTAAAAATCTAATAAATTTATACTTAAAACAGGTAATTTTGAAACAATTATATAACAAAACTAGTCTAATATTGCAACGAATTCATTTCAAGTCACTCATGTGTAGACTTTCCATATTGCATGTGTAGTCAACGAATTTACTTCAAACGAATCACTCATTATCACATTATTTCAAATCACCATCGTCGTGTCGACTATATGTCTAAATTTGACAAATTAGCATTTTCATGACAGCGGATTTGCGATTGTGCGACACTCATTTCTCAGCAATAAATGAATTAAGTCTATTTATACTTACGTTGCCTATGGCCAAGCGACGTATACTCGAGTCTCTGGCCTCGGTTCAAGAAGAAAGTTTTGGAAAATGTGGGCAAAGAAGTTTCGAAAGAGAGTTTTGAAAGCAAGATTTGAGAAATTGAAATTGGTGTTATACGAGAATGTAAGCAAAAGACGACAACAACAGCTTACGACATATAACTATAGGAATATTGCAATTTATTTAAAATATATCAAAAAAAAATTGTAGAGAGAGAGAGGAAGAAGAGAGAGAAAGTGGGAGCCGACAGGTAGAATCGTTGAGAGGGGGGAGAAGAGAAAAAAGGGGGAAAACTGCAAGTTCTTCTGATGACTCAGAGACCCCTCGTGCGGCCCTCCCTTCCCTCTTTCTTCCTGACTTTGACCCCTCTCTCTCTTCATCATTTAACCCGAACTCTCTCAATTTCGCAACTTTTTGTAACGGTTCGAGTTTACCGCCAGCAGATATTGTCGTCTTTAGATTTTTCATTTTCGAGCTTTCTCTCAAAGTTTTAAAATGAGTCTGCTAGTGAAAGTTTTTCATACACTTATAAACGTGTTTTGTTCTCCTTCCCAACCAATATAAGACATCACAGATTTTCACATATTTATAAAGAAGGTTCCGTGGTAATTTAGTGAGGTATTAGAGTATTTGTGTTCGATCGTAGTAACTTCGTTTACTTTACCATTAGTAATGTCGATAACTACTTCTTGAGTTGTGTGCAACTTTTCGAGTCAACAGTGAGAAAGGGTGTGTAAGTATTGTTTAGAGCTTTAATCTTATGGTCGAAAGATGTAATTTACATAAAGTAATTGAGTTCATCTCGAGACGTTGGCAAAGATTGCATTTATTGTTTTTCGTTTTGGCACAAAAGCTGAGTCTATATTATGTGAGCTATCGATCTCAAAATAAATAAAAGTTCGGTACTAACTTGTATTTCAACTAAAATTAAAATCGACTTAAACATATTGACCAATTTGAACAGAGTTCTCAATTGTTTAATATATATATTTTAGATCGATAGGTCTTAGGCTAAAAATCTACTTAAAACTTTAATTAAAA